GGTAAGAAAGAGGGATGGACTGGGAGAAGGAGGAAGGGAGAGGTAGAATGGAAAAATTATCTCACATAAAAGAGGAACACAGGGAAGAACTTTTACAGTGGAAGGAGAAATGGAGGGTAACAGGCAATGCTTGGAGCTCACTCTCATTGGAACTGGTTCAAAGAGGGAAGCAAAATAATTTATACATATGTATATACTACAAACCCAGTTGGATATAAAAATCTATTGTATCCAACAGGGAAATAGGAGGGGAAGGGAATAAAAAGAAAGGAGAGGAGGAATGATAAAAGGGAGGGAAGATTAAGGCAGCCAGTAGTCAGAAGCAAGATAGACTTTTGAGGAGGGATGGGATAAAAAGAGCGAGAGAAGGATAAACAGAAGAAAATGTGATCAAGGAAAATATACAGTTAGTAATCATAATTATAAATATGAATGGGATGAGGTTATCCATAAAATGGAAGTGGATAGAAGAATGGGTTAGAAACCAGAATCCAACAATATATTGTTTACAAGAGACACATTTGAATCAAAGACACATACACAAGTTAAAATAAGGAGAAGGAGCAAAATCATGCTTCAGCTGAAATAAAAAAGGCAGGGGTAGCAATCATGATATATCATGATCTCAGACAAAACAAAAGCAAAAATAGACCTAATTAAAAGAGATAATCAGAGAAAATACATTTTGATAAAAGGTACCATAGACAATAAAGTAATATCAAAAAAATTTATAGCAATTTTCTCTGATAAAGACCTCTTTTTTAAAATATATAAGGAACTGAGTCAAATTTATAAATATAACAGCCACTCCCTAATGGATAAATTTTCAAGGGATATGAACAGGCAGTTTTCAGAAGAATAAATCAAAGCAATCTACACTCATGTGAAAAAAAAATGTTCCAAATAATTATTGATTAGAGAAAAGCCAATTAAAACTCTGTGGTATGACCTATCAGAAATGACAGAAGCTAGAAGGGATGAGGGAAAATAGGTACATTAATGAACTTTTGGTAGAGTTGTGAACTGGTCTGATTATTCTGGAGAACAATTTGGAACTATGCCCAAAGGGCTATAAAATTGTATATGCCCTTTGATCCAGCAATAACACTACTAGATTTCTACCCCAAAGAGATCAAAGAAAAAAGAAAGGTATCTACATGTACAAAAATATTTATAGCAACTTTTTGTGGTAGCAAAGAATTGGAAATTGAGGGAATGCCCATAATTTGGAAAATGGTTGAACAAGTTGTAGCAGCTAATTGTGATGGAGTACTATTGTGTTATAAGAAAGGATGAGAGGGATAATTTCAGCAAACCATGGGAAGACCTACGTAAACCGATTCAAAGTGAAGTGAGCAGAACCAGGAGAATATTGTAACGACGATCAACTGTGAAAGACTTAGCTACTCTGATCAATACAATAATCCAGAAAAATTTCAAAGGACTCATGATGAAAAAATGCTATCCACCTCCAGAGAAAGAATTGATGAACTCTGAGTGCAAACTGAAATATAGTTTTCTCATTGTCTTTATTTTTCTTGCTTTTCTTTTTTGCAACATGGCTAATATGGAAATATTTCGCATGATTTCACATGCATAATATATTGCTTGCCTTGTCAGTAGGTGGGAGAGGGACTGGAGGGAGAAAGATAATTTGGAACTCAAAATTAAAAAAAAAAGAATGCTAAAAATAAACAATACATATACATATATGCAAAAGATCAATGTAAGTTTTCAATAGTATTTCAGTTTTCCAATTACATGTAAAGATAATTTTTAACATTCATTTTTTACATACAATTTTGAGTTCCAAAATGTTTCCCTCCCTTTCTCCCTCCCTAAGACAATAAGCAATTTGTTATAGGTTATATATGTGCACTCATATAAAACATATTTCCATATTCATCATGTTGTTTAAGAAGAGAACAGAAGGAAAAACATGAAAAAAATAAAGAAAGTGAATATAGCATGCTTTGATTTGCATTCAGAATCCATCAGTTGTTTCTCTGGACGTAGACAGCATTTTCCATCATGAATCTTTTGGAACTGTCTTGAATCATTGTATTGTTGAGAAGAGCTAAGTTAATAGTCAATAATTAATCATCCCACAAAGTTCTCCCAGTTCTGCTCACTTCACTTTGTATCAGTTCATATAAATCTTTCCAGGTTTTTCTGAAATCTGCCTGCTCATCATTTCTTGTAGCACCATAGTATTCCATTATATTCATATATCACAACTTGTTCAGCCATTCCCCAACTGATAAGCATCCCCTCAATTTCTAATTCTTTGCCACCACAAAGAACTGCCATCAATATTTTTGTACAAATAGGTCCTTTCCCCTTTTTTATGTTTTTTGTTTGTTTGTTTTTGTTTTTGCTAGGCAATTGGGGTTAAGTGACCTGTCTAAGGTCACACAGCCAGTATGTGTTGTGTGTCTGAGACCAGATTTGAACTCAGGTCCTCCTGATTTCAGAGCGCTATCCACTGCGCCACCTTGCTGCCCCATTTCCCCTTTTTTATGATGATCAACATAGGTTAAGCATGATGTGATGGCAAAAAAAAAATGAATACTGTATTTTATATGTAAATAGGCTATATTAAGAATGTTCCAGAAGGAGGGAAGGGAAGTGATAGTCTTGCACTGTTCTCTGGCCTTGTTGGGGCATATGTCATCTGGACTTTGCATTTGCTTCTGGGAGCTCCAGTTTGGGGAAGATACTGACAAGTTAGAGAATGCCTAAACAAAGGCAGTCAGGATGGTGAGGGCCTCAAGAACAGGCCTTATAAGGATCGATGGAAGGAACTGGGGATGTTCAACCTGGATAAAATTAAGGGGCGAGATAATGATTGTCTTCAAGTATTTGAAAGACTGAGAAATCGAATGAGAAATTAAGACCTGGTTGGTCCAAGAAGGCAGAACTCTGAGTGATGGGTGGAAGTTGTAGAGAGGCAGATTTTTACTTAATATAAGGAAATATTTCCTGACAATTAGTAGAATGGACTGCTTCCAAAGGTGGTAGGTTCCCCCTTGCTATGGGTTTTCAGTAACACATTGGATAACCACTTGTTGGAGACATCAAAGAGGGGATTCCTATACATTCTATATGGAGCTAGGAGGTGCAGAATATAGAATGCTAGACTAGGAGTCAGGAAAACCTGAGTTCAAATCCCACCTCCAACTCTTCCTTAGCTATATGACCCTGTACAAGTCACTTAATTCCTTTCAACTTCAGTTTGCTGCTCTGTAAAATGGGGACAATATTGCACCTACTTCAGAAGTTTGTTTGTGAGGGTCAGATGAGATAACATAGAAAGCGCTTGGCAGACCTACTAGATGCCCTTTGAGGCCTCTTCCAATTTGGCAGACTCCCTCCTTTACTTAGCAATGATCAAGGGGGGAAGTGAGAGGGGAGGGGGAAGATGCCAAGGAAATGGGATTCAATTCTTTTAGGTGGCCATGTGTTTAGGAAGAAAATCTCATGCTGTCTAGAGAGCCTATACCTACATCCAGGCCACCAGTGTAAACAACCTTATTGCACCCATTACATAGCACTTTAAGGTTTGTAAAGTACTTTACAAATATTATCTCATCTTGTCACAAGGCTGGGAGGTAGGTGCTATTATTATCCTTGGTTTTTTTTTAGTGTTTGCTTTTGTTTTTGCTAGGCAATTGGGGTTAAGTGACTTGCTCAGTGTCACACAGCTAGTACATGTTGTGTGGTGTGTGTCTGAAACCGCATTTGAACTCAAGTCCTCCTGACTTCAAGGCTGGCGCTCTATCCACTGCACCACCTAGGTGCCCCTATTATCCTTATTTTACACATGAGAAAACAGAGGCAGAAAAAGGGTAAGTAGCTTTCCCAGGGTCACTCAGCTAGGATGTGAATGAGGCTGGATTTGAACTGACTCCAGCCCTAGAGCACTATTCATTAAGCTGCCTTATTGCCTCTCGTGTATGGGTGACCCAGACTCGGAGTCAGAGGATGTGGGTTCAATTACTGGTTCCACCACATACTAGGTGTGTTCTTGGGCAATACATTTCATCCTCCTGCTCCTTTTCCTTCACCTATAAAATGGGAACAAACAGTAGTTCTGTAAACTCTTTTTTTTTTTTTAGGCAATTGGGGTCAAGTGATTTGCCCAGGAACACACAGCTAGTAAGTATCAACAAACAGTAGTTCTGCTACCTGCCTAAAAGGTCTGTTGCAGATTAAGTGAATTAATATATATATATATATATATAAACTGCCACAGAGAGCTCAGATGCTACTTGGGTTTCCTTTTTTATTAGTGTCTGCTTTACTGCAGTGCGACTGAGAAATCAGAGTCACTTGGCTTTGTGACATGCCTCAAATACTAAGGTTCCCAGGCTAGCTCCCTGTGTCCATCAGTCAGTGGGAATGGGGATGTTTAGGGCTTTGGCTTCATTCATTTATTTCCTTTTAAAAATACTTGTTTATTTTTAGTTTTCAACATTCACTTTTATAAGATTTTGAGTTCCAAATTTTTTTCTTCCTCCCCTTTCCCCCTCCCCAAGATGGCAAGCGATCTGATATAGGTTTAGCTTCATTCATTCAACGAATCTTGATACGTGTGTTTTCCCACTCCCAGGGCACTGTGTTAGTTGTTTTGGGGGATATAAAGAACCCCAACATGGAGTCCTGGGCCTTGAGGCAGCTGGGTGTTGTGATGGATAGAGCAATGGGCCTGGAGTTAGGAAGACCCGAGTTTAAATCCAGCCTCATACACTTTATAGCTGTGTGACTCTGGGCAAATCACTTAACCTCTGTCTGCCTTAGTTTCCTCATCTGTAAAATGGGGATACTAATAATAGCACCTACCTTGAAGGGCTGTTGTAAAGATCAAATGAGATAATATTAATGTAAAGCACTTAGCACAGTACCTGGCACACAGTAGGCTTTTAAAAATGTTTCTTCCCTTTCCCTCACCTTAAAATCTAATGGAAGATCCCCATTTACAGAAACAAGAAAGGATGAAATATTATCAAGTTACAGACTGAATTTTAATGTGTCTCCTTTAACAGTCATCATTATCTCTGGTTACAAGCGATCACCCTCAAGGTTGACTGGCACTGTGGTGGAGGGAAGGACTAGACTCAGTCCTTGGATGGCTTGGGGCATGGAGTGAAAAGGCACATAATTTGGCATCAGAGAGGTCTCTGTGGTGGACGGGGGTGGCAGGTAGCTCAGACAGGAAGGAAGGGAAGAACATAGCATTCTCACTGGCAGAGGTAGTTATTCCTGGGTCCTTAGTCCGTGTGGGTGGGAGGTGGGCTGAGACCCTCCCTCACATGTGGTACAGGTTGCTATGACTGCAACAGTCCCAGTCCACCAGCTCACTGCTATGAAACCACAGGCTGATCTCCCTCTGGGCCACTTCCACCGAATCGCTGGCATGGACAACATTCCTGTACCAGAGAAACAAGCAACAAGGGAGAAGGTCTAAGGTTGGAGGGCCTCCGGGTAGCTGGTCGCTGGTGTTATCTCCCATACTCCCCGTCCTAGCCCCCCTCAGACCTCCCATTCTTTTGCTCTATGTTGTTTAAACAGATGGAGAAATGAATGGTCCAAAGAACAGGGTATAGTTTTCTCCCGCCAAAACTCCATTTTGGTATTGTCTTCAGCCCACCAGAATTTCTATACTTCCTTCCCGCCAGGCATTTGAATAATTCACATTTATATTATGTTCCCCCACCCTAAAACAAAAAACCCAAAAACAAAAAACCCAAACCTCACGATCCATGCATCCCCACTAGCTATTGTCTCCAGGGGTGGGGGACCTGCAGCCTCGAGGCCACACGTGGCCCTCTAAGCCCTCAAGTGCGGCCCTCAGACTGAGTCCAAACTTCACAGAACAAATCCCCTCAATACAAGGATTTGTTCTGTAAAACTGGGCCTCAGTCAAAAGGCTGCACCCAAGGACCTAGAAGGCCATTTGTGGTCTCCAGGCCTTAGGTTCCCCACCCCTGGATCTTAGCTATAGACCTATTATCTCTTCTTTCTTGTGACCAAACTGCTTGAAGACCTCTATAAGAGGTTTCTCCACTTTCTTTCCTCTCACTTTTTTTGCGAGAGGAAATCATTCAACTGAAACTACTCTCTTCAAAGTTACAAATATCCCTGAATTGACAAATCTAATGGCCTTTTCTCAATCCTCATCCTTGACCTCTCTAAAGCCTCTGAAGAGAACAAGCACTTATCATGTGCCTGCTATGTACCAGGCACTGCATTTAATGCTTTAAACTATGATCTCACTTGATCCTCACAACAGCCTGGGAGTTAGGTACTATTATTATCCCCATTTTACAGATGGCCAAGAGAGGGTAAGTGACTGTCCAGGGACATGCAACTAAAAAGTGTTTAAGGCTGGATCTGAACTCAGGTCTTCCTAAATCCAGGCCAGTGCTCTACTCACTGGGCCACCTAGCTTTGATGCTATCAATCACCCTCCTCTCCTGGATACTCTCTTCTAGGTTTTTTGTGACATTGCTCTCCTCTGGCTCCCTTCCTACAGCCTCTTCTCAGTCTCCCCCCTTTCAGGCTGCCCAGTCTGCCAGGCCCTCCCCACCAGTACCTGCTGATGTGAACGCTGAAGTCTCCCCGAATTGTCCCCGGGGCAGCTTCTGCTGAGTCAGTGTCTCCTACCATGGCCCTAGAGGTACGGACCACATTGTACCCTTCCCAGACCTGCAACACAAAAAAGACCCGGCCTGTTCCTGTCAACAAAAGGCAACTGGACAAGTAGCTAGTCCCCAATATCTGCCTCTTATTTCCATGGGTCTGTACAGGCCATTTCCCACATTTCAGCTGCACTCCTTCTCTCGGCCTCTTTTCTACCTTCACAGTTCCACTCATGTGTCACCCTCCTTTGTGAAGATTTCTCTGAACCTGCCAATCCTAGAGAATCAACTAAAAAACTATTTCAAATAATTAACAACTTTAGCAAAGTTGCAGGATATAAAATAAACTCACATAAATCATCAGCGTTTGTATTTATTACCAACAAAGCCCAGCAGCAAGAGAGAGAAAGAGAAATTCCATTTAAAATAACTGTAGACAATATAAAATATTTGGGAGTCTGCCTGCCAAGACAAACTCAGGAACTATATGAACATAATTATAAAACGCTTTTTTTTTTTTTAGCTAGGCAATGGAGTTAAGTAACTTGCCCAGGGTCACAGCTAGTAAGTGTCAAGTATATGAGGCTGTATTTGATCTCAGGTCCTCCTGACTCCAGGGCCGGTGCTCTATCCACTGTGCCACCTATCTGCCCCTCTAGTTCATCTTACAGATGGGGAACTGAGGCAAACAGGGTTAAGTGACTTGCCTAGGGTCACACAGCTAGTAAGTGTCTGAGGCCAGATTTGAACTCAGGTCTTCCTGAATCCAGGGCCGCTGTTCTGTCCACTGCATCACCTAGTTGACCCACAAAACACTTTTCAAACAAAGTCAGATCTAAACAATTGGAAAAATATCAATTGCTCAAATTGTCCTATAATACTTTGTCCAGCCCTCTCCTTTCTGCTCTATCACCCTTTACCTCATACTAGACCTGGTTGTATATACGTCACATCCTACCTCTGCGGCAATCAATGAATCAGCAAGTGCTCATTATGCACATAGAATGTACCAGGCAATATACTGAGCGCTGGTGCTAAGCGAGCATTGAGACACTGCTGTTTTTCATCTTTGTACCCTCTGTACCTAGCACACAGTGAGTGAGAGATAAATGTTTGTTGATTCATAGAACTGAGCACATCTTCATGGAGCAGTCGACCCTGCACTAACCAAACTCCACAACTCCTAATAGGAAGTAGAGATGGGGAGGACAAAAAGAAAAGGGCACTGGTCTAGGGAAGGACCTTTGTTTTCCACCTCTCCAATATGCTCGTCATGTAATTGTGTATGTTAGAGCTATCTGTGTTTCTATTTTATCCCTCCAGACTAGACTGGGATATCCTTGATGGTAGGGGCCTTGCTGTGTCCAAGCCTTGCATCTCGACCATCAGCTAGCACAATCCTTTGGGTATAATGAATGCTTATGTTTAGTGAATGAAATAATTGCTCTGGCATCCAGGAGGACTGATTGCCTCTAGAATCAAATATAAAATCCTCTTTGGGATTGGAAGCCCTTCACAACCTAGCCCCTTCTTTACTTCCTTATAAGGCTTCTTATATTTTATTCCCTTCCATGAATTCTTTGATGCAGCTACATTGATCTACTCACTGTTCTTCACACCTAATACTCCATCTCCCAACCTCGTGCCTTTTACTGGCTATCTCCCATGCCTGGAATCAGGGCAGTGTTATGGAGTCAGCTTAATGAATGGCTCTCAAGAGCTGGTTGTTAAATTTTCAGTGTGAACATTCACACCTCAAAACTTGGCAAATGCTACAAATCAGGGGTTGGTTTATTCTTTTGTTGATTGTCTAGACTTAGGAAAGTGATAGAGAAGATGTTAATGTTGCAAATTCAACTTTTAAGTATGTCCTGGGTATATTTTCCTCTTGGAGAGCCATCTGTTAAACATTTACCAGCACACCACTGCCTGGAATGTTTTCCCTCCTTACTTCTACTTTCTGGCTTCCCTGGCTTCCTTTAAGATTTATCTTCTTTAGGAGGGCTTTCTCACACTCAGACACACACACACACACCCTCACCCCCTCCCACTAATGCCTTTGACTCTCAGAACACTTTTCATATCTTGTATAAAGAATCTGTATCTTATATAAATTTAGTTGTTTCCATTCTGTGAGCAACCTGAGGGGAGGAATCATGTCTATATTTGCTTTTTCTTTGTATCCTCAGAACTTAACACAATGCCTGGCCCACATGGTAAGTACTTAAGTTACCTTGTTTTTGACTGACTGACTGAATAAATACCTGCTCATCAGGTAATCCCCTTCTGGCAGATAAGGAAGACTCTAAAAAGGAAGAGGCCAACAAAAGAACATAGTAGCTGTGTTCCTTTTGTCATCATCAGGAGCTAATAAAGGAGCACTGGTGGCATTTGATGAACTCCCAATACCCCAAAGGAAGCCCTATCCCTTCCCACTTTCCCTCTTAGCAGAATCCAGGCTCAGTCTACTCTTACCATAGCAACCACAGGACCAGAGCTCATATAGTTGATCAAGTCTGGATAGAAGGGTTTCGTCTTTAGGTCATGGTAATGCTCAGCAAGGACTTTCTCTGGGGCCTGGAAGGCAATAAGGAGAGAGGTGGGAAGAGTTCTGGAGCCAGATAGCAACAGGAGAAGTTGTGGAAGGCGTTAGCCTACTCAGACCCCGCTATACATAGCAAGCCCTCAATGGATGCTTGTTGGTTAACTGGTTGAGTAGAGGTACTGCCCAGTTCCAAAAAGCCAGGAGATTCCTATGCCAGCAACCTATCTCTTTCCAACCCCGGGGCACCACACCTTCCCAGAATACATCAGTTCTGCCAATGAGGGAAACGATACTACAAATACAAAAGGTGGCCGCTGTTGGAAAACTAAATGCCATTGGCCCTTGTAGACATACACAAAAGAAGCAAAGGGGTCAAGTTAGAGAGGCTCCATGATATTTCTTCCACACATAAAACACAGCCCTGACTGCTTGGACCAGAAATAATGGGCCTCCATGGAACCAATGAGGATGGAGTGCTGAAATAGTGACTAGAGCCAAGTCTTTTTTGACCTACAGTCTCTGAAGAGGGCAGGCTAAGCTGGGTAGTCTAGTTTAGCTTGGCTGGGGCATCACGCAGCAAAGCCTGGCTCTGGTCAGTACTGGTGCCTAGAGCTTCCACCTCTAAGCAAGGAACAGAGCCCCCACAGGGAGATTTGCAGACCCATCCATAGTAGGCACTGTTACCCGAAGCAGCTTCATGCCCACCAATTTGAACCCTCGTCTCTCAAAGCGCCTGATGACATCTCCAACCAGCCTCCGCTGAACACCATCTGGCTTTACTGCAATCAGCGTCCGTTCCTGGGTTCTAGTAAGTCCCCCTAGAGGAAAGGGAAACAGAAGGTCATCACCAGGACTGGCCTCTTGGGCCTGCTGGGGTCTAATAAGATCAAATTCAATGAGTAGAAATGTAAAGTCCTACGCTTGGGCTCAACAAACACAATTGCACAAGTACAACATGGGAGATACATGACTGGATGATATTACGTGTGAATAAGATCTAGAGATTTTAGTAGACACATTTGATGTTAGTCAGCAATGTGGCAAGGCAGTCAAAAGAGCTAATACCACCTTCGGTTGCACTGATAGAGGCACGGTGTCAAATAATCCCACTGTACTCTATGTCTAGAGAGTTCCATTTGAGCATGCCCCAAAGAGGATAGTGGGAGAACCGAAAACCATTTCATATGAAAAACACTGAAGCAATTCGGGATGTTTACACTAGAGAAGACATGGAAGGGAAGGGAATGGTGGAGGGTGGCAGGGATATGATCACTTTCTTTGAAGTGTTCAAAGGGGCATCACATGGGAAAGAGACATGGAGGAAAGAAGCAGAAACCACACATGGAAGCTGCAGAGAAATTAATGTCAAGTCGGCATAAAGAAGGCCTCCCCTAACAGTGAGGGATGTCCGAAATCGAAAAGGAGCTGTGCCAGTAGGCCTTGGGTTCCACATTGTTGAAGGTTTTCAAGCAGAGGATGAACAACATATCTGGGACATTGTAAAGGAAATCTCTATTCATGTATTCAGGTATGGCTTGGATGAGATGGAATCTGAATTTCCTTCCTACTGGGAGATTTCAAAGAGAACCAATGTCTTGGGGATGTCTTGACTTGTATGTGAATTGGATTTAAGTGAAGCAGAGTTGCACAAAATTGTTAGCCTTAGGGCAGCTAGGCCCTGGAGTCAGGAGGACCCAAGTTCAAACCCAGCCTCACTTACTAACTTTGAAACCCTAGGCAAGTCACTTAACCTCATTGCCTCCAGGAAAAAAAAAAGTTATCAGCCTCACTCTCTCTCCCAGAGTCATCCAAGTCCAGTGACAGGACAAAAGCCAAGATGACTGGCAACGGCCTGGTATGCCGTAGATGACCTTGGCATCTTTAATGTCTGACCAAACTCTAAATGCTCCACAACACCTGCTTCAGCTGCCTTCGATGCCATTAGAACAAATTGTTCTCCTCTGCCCATTCCACTGGGAAAGTCTTTTTTTTTTTTTTGGTTAGGCAATGGGGTTAAGTGACTTGCCCAGGATCATACAGCTAGTAAGTGTTATGTGCCTGAGGCTGGATTTGAACTCAGGCCCTCCTGAATTCAGGGCCAGTGCTCTATCCACTTCACCACCTCCACTGGGAAAGTCTTCACATGCTTGGGGTATGTCCCCTTAACTCACCAACAAGTTTAAGGCCTATTGGTTACCCTCAACCTGGTTTAACCTGTCTGCCAAGATATTTACCAGGGTGTGATTACTGTACTTGCTACAGCTACTTGGAGCCACAGGTAGGAGTGGGGTGAATCAGGTGGACACCAAAGGTGGATGAGAAGCCATGAAACCAGAAGCCCTCACACCAGAGGTGCTAGTCTTCCTAAACACCCCATACACCCTTCAGAGATCGTAGGACTCTATGAACCAGGCTCTCTTCATCTCTCCCACTGGCCTGGGAGGGGGCATGTGTTGAGTTACACTTGGTCTCAGTTTTTCTGACAGAGGAATCCTCTTTTTCCTTCTCTACACTAGAAGGATGCATTTCAAGGGAGAGGCAGCAATGCCTAAAGTCTACTGAGGTGTTTAAGGACTTGGTTCATCTCACTGTCATTTTGAGGAGACTCCGACCTAGGACTGCCCTGGATAGCTGGAAGAAGAGCACCTAGAGGCTAGGTCCTTCCAGCTATGGCAGCAATAGGCATGTTTAGCTAATGTCTGGCACATAGTAGCTGCTTAATAAATGTTTTTTGATTCATTGACTGAATGTATGCTAGCCTAGGGCTCCTGGCTGGGCAAAAGGCACACACACAAAACAACAGCTTTTCCAGAGCAACTAAGCAGTCCTAAAAATACCGTTCAATGACGCAGTCTGCCCAGTTACTAAGACAGCCTTTCTGGGAAGGAGGAAGGCTAATTAGGAACACATCCATGGGGAGGCCTGGAGGTATAAGCAGAGATAGCACAGCTCCCCAGAGAAGGGAAAAGCCAGGATTCTGCCTCCTCTCATTATATTGTGTCCTGCATCCCAAGACTGGGGGAAAAGCACCATCTTCCAACACTGAAGGAGGCAGAAGGTTATCCTTCAGTTTCCTCACCACTTTGTTTCATGAATCAGTATTTCTGAAATTAAGGAATGGCAGAGATCCAGGTTGGGGGTTGGGGAAAGTCACCTAGGTTATCCCCTAAAGGGTAGTTCATTTCAAAACTAGGCAATAAGGCACAAGGGAAAGGGAGTAGGGAGAAGGGGAGGAGAGAGAAGGACAGGGAGAGAGAGAGAGGGAAGGAGAGAGAGAAAGGAAGATGGAGAGACAGAGAGAGAAACAGAGAGAGAGAGAAAGCGAGGGAAAGAGAAGGACAGGTAGAGAAGCAGAGGGAGGGAGAGAGGGGGAAATATGGAGAGAGGAGGGAGGGAAGGAGGGAGAGGAAGGGAGAGAGAGAGGAGAGAGAGAAGCAGAGACACACAGAGACAGACAGAGATGGGGGGAGGGAGAGAAAGTGAGGGAAGGAAAAGGACAGGGAGAGAAGGAGAGGGAGGGAGAGAGAGGGAAAGGAGAGAGAAGGAAAGGAGAGAAGGAGGGAGGGAGAGATAGAAGAGAGAGAGAGAAATAGAGAGGAGAAAGTGAGAGAGGAGAGACAGAGAGAGAAAAGAGAAAGGGGGGGAAGATAGGGGGGAGGGAAGGAAGGGAGAGGGAGGGAGAGAGAGAGGAGAGAAACAGAGAAAGAGAGACACAGAGAGAGAAATAAAGGGAAGGAGAGGGAGGGACACAGAGAGAGTACACAGGGGAGAATGGCATGTAGTCTTTTCCACGTGTACTCACTCTGAGAAACAGTCATAGATTCAGGGAATTCTAACCGTAGTTAGCATGGCAGCAAATGCTGGGAACCAGTAATAATACTGTCATATTTCAATATCTATACTCTTTGACCCAGAGACCCCACAGCTAGGCATATACACCAAAAGGTCAATGATTGAAAGAAAGGGCCAAGCCATACCAAAATATTTATAGCAGTACTTTTTATAGAACTGGAAACAAATAGCCATTGCTTGAGGAATGTCTAAACAAATTATGAGACATGAAGTAATGAAAACTTGCCAAATTATTAAAAAAAAGAAATATAACAAATTCAGAGAAGCATGGGAGTTAAATTAAATGATGAAAAATTAAGTAGAACTAGGAAAATAGTTTACATGATACCTATACCAATGTAAATTGCAATAACAAGAAAAAAATATTGAACATTGTATAAATATAATGACCAAGCTCAGCCCTGAAAAAGAGATGAAAAAGTGCCAGCAAACATGCCCATGTCTCCCTATCTTCAAAAAACTCTCAGTTGATCCATCTTTCCCCATTAGCTATTGTTCTCAATCTGTCTACCTTTTTGTGGCTAAAATCCCTGAAAAGGCCCTCTACAACTGGCATCTCCACTTCATTGCCTCTCACTCCCTTCTTAACTCTCTACAGCCTGGCTTCCCACCTCATCATTCAACTGAAACTACTTTCTCCAAAGTTACCAGTGATTTCTTAATTGCCAAATCTGATGGCCTTTTCTCAATACCCCTCCTTTTTCACCTCTCCACAGCCTTTGACACTATTATTCACCCTCTTCTCTCTAGGTTTTTGCAATACTGCTCTTCTCCTGGTTCTCCTCCTACCTGTCTGTCTGCTGCTTCTCAGTCTCCTTTGCTGGATCCTCATCCAGGTCATGCCCACTAATCTTGGATGTCCCACAAAGCTTTTGTCCTGGGTTCTCTTCTCTTCTTCTTCTTCTATGCTATTTCACTTGGTGATCTCATCAGCTCCTGTGAATTCAATTGTCATCTCTGTGCAGATGATTCCCAGTTCTATTTGTCCAATCCTAATCTCTCTCTGGACCTCCAGTCTCTCATCTCCAACTGCCTATTGGATATTTCAGTTTGGATGTCCCATGAACATGTTACGTGTCCAAAATTGGACTCACCTTTCCCCCCGCCCCAAATCTTCCTCTTTTCCTGACTTCCCTATCACTGTCAAAACTGTCACTGTGCTCCCAGTCATACAGGATATATCCTAGGCATCATCCTTAATTTTTCATTCTCTCTGACACCCCTTCCCATATCCAATCAGTTGCCAAATCCTGCTGTTACTCCCTTCATAACACTTCTTTTATGTAGCCCCTTCCTCCCTCTAACACCACCACCTCTCTGGTTCAGTCCTTCATCACCTCATGCCCGGACTCTTGCAATAGCCAGGTTGATCCCCCTGCCTCAAGCCTCTCTCCACTCCAGTCCATCTGCCACTAAGCTGTTAAATTGATCCTCCTTAAGCCTATGGGAGTCAGACCTTGTTACTCCATCCCACCCACATTTAATTAACTCCAGCAGCTTCCTATTACTGCTGGGATCAAAAGCTTCTGTTTCACTTTTAAAGCCCTTCATAACCTGCTGCCCCACACCCTCCACACTCTTTTCACTCTCCTTACTCAGGATACTCCATCTCTTGACTCTTAGCATTATCATTTGCCATCCCCACCCCATGCCTGTGACTTCCTCCCTCCCCATAGCATTTTTACTTGCTGTCCTCCCATACCTGTAACTTTTTCCCTCCTCATCTCCACCCACTGGCTCCCCTAGCTTCCTTCAAATCTCAGTTAAAGTCACATCTGCAAGAAACTTTTCACAATTCGCCTTCATCTCAGCGTCTTCCCTCTGAGATAATCTCCAATTTATCCTGTATAAAGCTTGTTTGCACAATTGTCTCCCTCATCAGACTGTGAGCTCCCTGAAAGCAAGGATGATTATTAACCTTTCTTTGTTTCCCTGGCATTTAGCACAGTGCCGAGCTTGAAGGAGG